GCATGGATTGATATCCAAACTACATGGCTTCAATTGAGCCATATGTGCTTGTCGGCCATCGTGCCGTTGTTTTTTGTGGTTTTTGAAACCTCACCGTGCGGGGAGGTTCTCACGAATTTTTTGTAAATAACGAGTATTTTGTTCCATTTTGTAGAGAAGAGCCCGTCGAGTTGAGTCGGAGTTCTCGCCACCATGTCGGTCTCTGCCTCACACTGCGCGTCATCTCGCCACTCACCGACCGACTGCGCCACTGCTAGCGCTAGCTCGACTCGCCGCCACCCTAGGTATAACCCCTCTTTTCATATCATTGTCGTAGATCGCGTAACCCAGTTAGGCGTCTCCTGTTCGAAAGAGATATGGTTGGAGGTATGCAGATCTTTGCATATCTATGACCGTATCTATTTCGGATTGTCCACGCTTTTTGGACAGCCCGTGGATGCGTAGATGGGTTAGTTTCCATGTTCTGCTCTAGTCCGAGACAGAGTTTCGGCATCACCTCCCTGTTGTTCTCCGGATACACACTCTTCTTTGGCAGGACGTGTATCTGGAGAACAGCGGGGAGGTGCTACCGAAATTCTGTCTCGGATAGGAGTAGAGCATGGAAACTAACCTCATCTACACATCTGCGGGTGGGATTAGGACCTATCCTCACCTATTAGACAAGAGGGAACACCATGTAGATGCAATTAATGGTTACATTACTCACCGATACATATGTTAGAGGATGGATGACCGTCAGTGGATGTACACGGGCTGGAGAAGTCAGAGTGATTACACCACGGAATGGATGAACAAGACCGATGCTTTCTTGAACAGTGCATTTGGCAACGCTGCTAAAGGACATTGCCTAGTTTTGTGTCCCTGCAGCAAATGTGGAAACAGGAGAAGGGTAAACAAGGTGGAAATGGGTAAACATCTTGTGAAGAATGGATTTACGCCGGACTACACCCGTGGGGTCCACCATGGTGAAGCCCATCGTATGAGAGAGAGAGGTGGTGAGACCACGGGTGGAGGCTTTTGATGTTGATGCCGGGTAGCGTACATGTTAGATGACTTTCACCAAGGACAGTTCGATGAGGGATGTGAGAAGGAGGAGATGGAAGCAAATTACCGCACAGCGTTCTCTACGATATGATGGACTCGCACGAAACCCCTTCACAATCGGTCAACGGTGTCTCAACCGGATGCCATTGGACGCTTAATGGGGTTGAAGTCCGAGTTAAACTTAAGTCGACCTGGCTTCGATAAGATGTTGGCCGTGATTGGCACCTTGCTTCCGGAGGGCCACATTCTGCCGAAGAGCATGTACGAGTCACAGAAACTCCTTCGAGCACTTAAGATGCCGTATGAGCAGATACATGCTTGTCCGAAAGGGTGTCTCCTATTTAGGAAAGAACACGAGCATGCAAAGTTCTGTCCAAAGTGTAAATCCTCCAGGTACCTGGAGGTAGACTTTGATGATGGCCAGAAGAGGCAACTTACGATCCCCATGAAAATCCTACGGTACCTTCCGTTCCTACCGAGGATCCAACGGCTATACATGACCGAGGAATCCGCGAAACAGATGACATGGCACAAAAATGGCAAACGGTACAGAGTTTTGGGTAAGTCTCCCTTGCACAACATTGCTCAATACGTCGCATTCATTAGACTTTTCTTGAAATAATGAATCGATACATCGCTTTTGTATGCAGACTTATTACAGATGCGAGGAGGGATTTGAGGCCAGGGCGGAGCAGGCGACTACCAAAGCCTGTAAAAAACTCGTCACCAACATGCATCACGAGGCGCGCATCCAGGCCATCGTAACCTACTACGGGTCGAAGCTTGGAGAGAGGAAAACCAAGAAAGACGCAAGAGAGATGTAGCTGACCCGGGAGTAGTACCTTGAGGTAAATGAAGAACATCAACATTGATTCGATTTGAGATTAAGTTGGTTTAATTTGATCTTCTTATATGTCCAATACTTGATGACGTGTAGGTGATTCCCTGGTGGTGCCAAGCGTATCCCGAGTGCTGGGCGATGATGGTGGACAGGTGGTTCACGGAGGAGTACCTCAAGATGCACAGGGATGCCCGGGACCGTCGTTTACTGATGCAAGGTCCAGCACACCGTCAAGGCAGCCGCAACCTCGCCGGATACAAACAAGCATGGGTACGCGAATTGATTTATATATTGTCATGCTCAGTTCTGTCTGATTTCTAATCATCGTGCTGTCTTTCTCGTAGTCGGCGTCACATAGTGGCCAGGCTTGCTCGGACTTTCAGGCATGGTGTATGGCCCACAAGGGTAAGGTGACGTCCGACGTCTCCTTCAACCTGGAGGACCCGCCCGAGGCATACACGAACCCGAGCGTCCACTCCCGCATCAGTGAGTACACCGAGGTGGCGAGGTCGCCCATGGGGCGTAACCACGATCCGAGCACCCGGACTTCGATGGAGAGGCCGTCATGAGGGCGGGGCAAGGCAAGAAGCATGGATGGTTCTGGCTTGGCGACGGCGTCATCGACACGGCCTCTACTCCCTCTCTCTCCCAGATCCGAGCACGGAGCACGAGCAAGAGCCCGGCCATTCGCACACGGCCGACCGCTGCACAGCACCGGGTCGACGCACTCGAGGTTATTCCTATTTTACTCGTCATACATTGATCTTTACACACCTTAATTAGCTTTGCATTACTGAAACATTGGAGTGAAATATTGCAGGCCCGGCTGGAACAAGAAATGAAGGAATGTCGAGTGAGTTGGGGCCCAGCTTGAGGCCGAAGCGGGCCAGCGGCGAGCCCAGCGCAGAGGCGATGGACATTACGGATTTCCTACAAGGGCTTGGGCAACGTGTGGGCTTGTCTCTCGCCACTGGCTGTTTGGTTCCACCTCCGCCTCCGGTCCCCTGCAGTTGCAGCTACTCCTGTGAGTATTAAAGTTTTTACTTTCACTTGTGCTTTGCTTGTATGGCCTCTATCGTCCCCAGATTAGCTATCAAAATAATTTTGTCTCACATGCAATCTTTTCTCCTTTGTGCAGTCTCCATCGACGGTGGTTCAATAATCCACCTCATGCACCTACTTAATGATGCACTGGGCCTTCACCACAATCAGCGATGGGCTTAGATGAGTGCATGTTGTATTTTTTACATTTGTTGTTCACTTGGTGATGGACTTGTGATGCACTTGTGGACTTGGATGGACTTGTAAACTTATTTGGATGGACTTGAGCACTTATTATTACATATTGTGATGGATGTGTTATGGGCGGATGGATGTGTGGATGGATGAGATATATATGTGATGGATGAGATATATATGCGATGGATGAGATATATATGCGATGGATGAGATATATATGTGATGGATAAGATATATATGTGATATATGTTTGTATGAATGTATTTGTCATGATGGAACGCAAAAAAAAAATTTATTTGCCGTTTTGGGTCACTTTGCCGAGTGTTGCACTCGGCAAAGGACCCCTTGTCGAAGCGCAATGGTCACAACACTTAAGCAAAGTCGGCAAAATGGGCGACCAGAAAAAGATTTTCCAAATTTTGCCGAGTCTTTGTGGATTATAACACTCGGCAAAGAAATTTTAAAAAAAAATTTAAACTTTGCCGAGTGCCTTCCGTGTTGGCACTCGGCAAAGAGTTTAAAAAAAAATCTTTGCCGAGTGCCTGGAGTGGTGGCACTCGGCAAAGAAAATTTCCAAAAAAAATAAAAGCTCTTTGCCGAGTGCCTGCCGGGTTGACGCTCGGCAAATAATTTTTTTAAAAAAAATAAAAAATCTTTGCCGAGTGCCTGGAGGCTTGGCACTCGGCAAAGAAAATTTTCAAAAAAAAAATAAAAGCTCTTTGCCGAGTGCCTTCCGGGTTGGCGCTCGGCAAAGAATTTAAAAAAAAAAAGCTTTGCCGAGTGCATGGAGGGTTGGCACTCGGCAAAGAAAATTCTCAAAAAAAAATAAAAGCTCTTTGCCGAGTGCCTCACGTGTTGGCACTCGGCAAAGAAAGTTTTAAAAAAAAATTTAAAAAAATCTTTGCCGAGTGTCGGCAGGGTTGACACTCGGCAAAGTGACCGTCAACAGAACCGGCGCCGTGACGGTCGCTTTTCTTTGCCGAGTGTTTCCGGGGCACTCGGCAAAGCCTTTGCCGAGTGCCCGATAAAATACACTCGGCAAAGAGTGCTTTGCCGATCAATTTTTTGCCGTGTGTGCTTTGCCGAGTGCCGCACTCGGCAAAGGCTTTGCCGAGTGCAATATAGCCTTTGCCGAGTGCCTCAGGCACTCGGCAAAGAACCTGAATCCAGTAGTGGCTCCATGGTTTTTGTGGCCGGCGTCCTCAGGAGCTCGGACGGCGGTGGTGACTGGGCGGCATGGCCGGAGTGGCCGATGGCGATGGCTTTGGTGGACGCCCGGGCTGGGGTGGCCACCGGCGTCCGGCGGTGGGAGGGAGGAGGCTTAGCTGGAGCTCAGCTCAGCTCACCCTCGCTCTGATGGCACTTTCCAGCCAAAATCTGGCAGCATAGTTTTACCAAACAGAAAATGCAATCATGATATATAATGTGCATGTGTATGTTAGCAAAAGAAAATAAACTTTGGCCACCTGTAAACAAGTATTTGAATGGGCCATATAAATAATGACATTGGATTCTTGTCACGTAAAAGCATCTTCAATTCCAAATACAGCGGAAACCAAGAAGAACAGGTAGAAGGGCGTAATAATTCATAACCACCCGAAGGCAGAGAGACATGTACACCACCAAACAATTGAAACACAGAATTGAACAACATGCGAACAGCAGAGAATGGCGACCCGGGCACTGGTACGCAGCCACGTAGTAGTACGTACCATACTGGACAGTTGCCAGCCCGCTGATTGATCTTCAGCTCAGACACGTCCGGACCATCAAACTTGTGACTACGCCTTCAGACACAGATATATATACGCTGTCATCATATATAAAGCGTTTCTTAATTGCGCGACGTAAAGAACTTTGATGACTTGTTGGCGATCTATATATCAGAGTCGTGCATACCTGTCCTAGAGTCGGTCCGCAGGATGATGGGTCCTTTTGTATTTTGAGCTAGCTGTTCCTGGATTTTCATCTTGAGCTCTCCTTCCTTGCGCGTTTGTTCCTGTGTTTCGTCCTCACATATCTTGTCCAAAGGCTCACCGTCATGACGAGCGGCCTCCATCCTTTTCCAATCTATAGGAAAGAGAGCACTGAGCTGGACCTCGTTGATGCTTCGGAGACATTCTAGCCCAGAAAAATCAATTTCATTATTTACACTCCCTGTGATCTGTAGCCGTTCAAGTTTGGGCATGGCTCTTTCGTCAAATTTGACCGATTTGATGTTCTCTGACAGTGAAAGGGTAAGCACCCTGAGGCTTCCGAATGCTATTCCAGCCTGTGGAGATCTGAAATCTAATTCTTCACCCAGAAACGATTCGCCAGAGAGACCTAGAATTTCCAACTTCATTACTTTCCCAAGGAATTCCATAGCAGCATCGTGCTCCAATAGCCTAGTGCCTGCTAGTTTCAACTTCACCAGATGCTGGTGCTCGTTGATCCATTGAGGCAACTTTTCCAGATTTCCATACACCTTGAGGCTCTGCAAGTTTTCCAGAGGTGCGGAGATCTCATCCAAGCAACCCTGCAAACCTGGCTTTCCAGCCGAACTCACCGACAGCGACTCTAGTCTGCTGAGTTTGGAAATGGCCGAGTAAAACGCACGGTGATTCTTCTTGTTGATGCCGCTCACTCCTAACTTGCGCAATCCTGTGAGCATTCCAATGTCCCGTAGAACGTTATTTCCCCTTCCGACATTCACTTCTCTTAGTGTGTGCAGGTCTTTAAGTTTTCCGATCCTCCTTGGCACCATAGCACCTCTTTCTTCATATGCTCCCGTCATGGCTGCAGGGAATGCCACGCAGCAAGCAAAAGTGCATGCATCACGTCTGGTAAGGGCCTTACAGCTGGGGCCTTCAATGTTCAAAAGAATAGGTAAGCAACATCTCGCACAGAGACGCGCCCCCCGAAGACACCTCCGCATTAAACTATCATTTTCCCCACGTACGTAATCTAATGATATTCCAGCATGGATGTACTGTAGCTTCCGAAGTTTGATGATGGTTTTTGGCAGAGCCTGTACAAGTGTATCTCTGACGTCAAGCGTTTGGAGTTCCTTCAGGTTGCCCAATGAAACCGGCAGTAGATCAACACCAATGCATCCACGTAGAGAAAGGTATTTTAGGTGAATAAGCTTCCAAATCTTATCAAGATGATGATATTTTAGACTATCAGTCCCTTCCAAGTCGAGTACTCGTAGAAACCTCATCTTGTCCGAAATGAAAAATGGCTTCCACTCACCAAACAGAGATAGCGATCGTATTCGGGACATGTCCACTATGCCCTCGAATTCACTCTTGTCTCCCTTCCAGTTGCTACTTATAGCAAGATGACGTATTGGGCCATGGACATTCATGTTGCAGCCTTCCTCCAGTCTGAAGACAAGGTTTTCCTCCATTGACTTTGAGATGGCGATGTCACGGATAAGATCATGGACTTTGCAAGAGTCAATTGATTTCCTGCTGTGAACTGATTGCTGACATGGTAAAATCATGCTTCTGTTCTTGAGATCCGTGAAGTAGACATCAGCCATTTCAATGGCAGACTTCCCACGTGTCTCAGATGAGTACCCTTCCGCTGTCCACCGACCAACCAAACGCCTTCGACTAATGGTCTGGTCTTCAGGAAATATGGACAGATATAAGAAACAAGACTTGAGGTGGTAGGGTAAACCATCATAGCTTTTCTCAAGTACACCTCTTATTTTCTCAAGCTCTGGATTCATCTCCAACTCAGCTATGATATTCTCATTCAACTTTCTCCACTCTTCTAGAGTGATTGGTCGGCTTGCCAAGAAACCACCTATGGCAGCTATTGCAAGGGGAAGTCCACCACACTTCTTTAGGATTTTTTCTTCTTCTTCGACCAAGTCATGGTACTTCGCAAACGAATATTTAGTCACCGCAAATACCTGATATTGGTACAATTTAAGTATTTTTTCAAATGAAACAATTTACATATTTCAGTAGTCCAAAGTAAAACTACTTAGTAGTTACTAGGCCTCTCCCTCCTCACTTACTACTAGAACTAGCAGGCCCATTGCCAGCACGGTCAATTTACATATTGCTAGACGCGTGGTGTACTTACTATTTAAATTGCAAATGTTATATGAATTAACGCAGCCTATTTCTTCATCATTTTTCTAGCCTCTCGGTCACGCTTAAGTCTGCTTGTATGCCCTAGTCTACACACCTCTACCCAGCGTATGTGTGCGCTGGCTTTATTGAAATGAAGCCCCGTGCAAGTACACCTTTTTTTTGGCGACTCGTGCAAGTACATGCCTAGTCAAACTCGCTTGTGCTAACATGAGAACTGGGTTATATGGTGCTTAACTCATGGAACAATTTTGGCCACCGCAGCTATATATATTTACGAAGGTTTCGCTATACTTGCATTGAATCTCTCAAGCCGCCAACTCCTTGATTTGGAGTGTTACCAAACAAGTTCTTAGATTTGAGCTCAAATGAGTCACTACATTTCATATTGGAGCCCATTTAATCATTGGTAGATCAATTTTGATTTCACGATAAATATGCTGATTTATTCAATGAATTTCTATAATTAATTGGTTAAAAAATCTCAACAATATAACAAAATATTTAGGTCTCATTGATATGTTCCTAAAAACGCTGATTTTGTTCCCATCTAATTAAGAGTTTGTAGAATTGACCAAAATAATGTTTTTGTTTGGTTTAGTTTAACCAACAACAAAAATTTCCCCATCATTGATCTAGATAATAGTTGAGAACAAATTGAGAAGTGCCTCCAGTACTTCAGAAATTATTTGTTTCAACATCATTTTCACCTCCAATTTTATTAAAAACGTTGGTGATAATATATCACTGCCAGTTCAAGGTAAAATCAACAGTAAAAAATCATTTTCCTCGCTAGTTTGGGACAAGAACTTGCGGTGAAAACCATCCTTGTGTTGTTGCTTTACCTCCTCCCACCATGTAAAGGATGTGCTTTCTCAGGATGGCTGACAGGGGGGCCAATGCATCCATGTCTTGCACCATGAATGGGTGCCAACAAAGCACACGAATCCTTCCCATCGGCCCATATCTATCGGTCTATCATGATTGTGTTTCTATTCTTTGTTCCTCTCTCTCTCTCTCTCTCTCCGTCTCTACTTGCTCCCTCCGACTCCATGTCACAGCCTCTGGCGGTGGTTCAACTCCATGGTGTGGCCGAAAGGCAGCAGTCCCCCTGGTGCGGCCCTCGGTGACGGTGGCTTGGGCATGGGGTGTGTCACTGGCTAGGCAGCAGCGGCCCTCCTATCCTATGGTGACAGCAACCCCAGCTTGACGTTTGTTCCCCTGCGCAGCCCAAACTCCAGTGGGGCGTGCGAGCCAAGGTGCTGCCATCTAGTGGCAAGCCCTCTTCATCCTAATGCTCCATGTTTATTTTTTGACAAACAAAGGATTTTCTTAATTCACAATCCTTACATCGAGTTTATACAAAAGTTGTGAATCCACTTTCAGCCTCTGCAATAAGCACATGACCTACTGCTGCAAGTGTAGATTCCCTTCTTCTTTGTTCTGAGATGGCGGTGTGTGTAGTACAGCGACAACACAAGACAGCGGCTGGTGCTACTTCAATGGCGGGCTGAACATGCCCACGGCTATTTCTTTTGTTATCGCTGTCGGTTCATTGCATCAGCAGGTGGTGTATTTTATTGTCAGAACCTGTTTGAAACTGGCGGTGATGCAGATTAACATCACTGGCTACTTTCACTACCGAGGCCCAAAACGGCATGATAAGATGTTTGGAACCAGCGGTGTTGTTTATTCTATACTGGTGCTTGGTCTTATCAAAGTGTGATGAATGATTGACACAAAAGTTGCTAGGTTTAAGGTTTTCCTGGTCGAGTTCATATTCATTTGTGCTTGATTATGCTAATGGCTAACCAGAGGTGTCATGTTGTGTTGATTGTGGTCTGTTATGCAACATGTCTCTAGGCTAACCAGAGGTGTTGTGCAAATGGCTAACCAAGCCGGTCGGCCACCAAGACGGTCGACAAACGATGGAGAAGGTCAAGTCTAACACCCTAAAATTTGCATCTTTTGAAATAGAGCTAAAATGATTTAATTTTAACATTTATGTGCTCATCAGAAGATATATAGGAGAAATAATATTTTTTTATTAAATTAAAGTTCATCATAAGGCCATCAACATTGTTGGTGAATGCATGCCACTACATTGAATTTACTGTGATGAATGGTCTTGACCAAAACTCAAAGTGCTTTGCACTATTTTTGAAAAAACTTTGAAGAAGATTTGAAACAAAAGAAAAAGAAAAGGAAATGAGAAAACTCTCCCTCTCTAATTTTTGCCCAAAAGGCCCAAACCCTCTCGCGCTCGCTCAACCCAGCAGCCTAGCAGCCCATCACCTCTCGCTTACTCAGACCTGAGCCCTGCACACTCTCGGCCTTCCTCCTCCTTGAGTGAGGCCCAAACAGCCACCCTCACTAGTACATAAATGATTTTTTAGCAACCCCACCCTTTTCTATCAGAGGCGGTTCAACTAGCACGCCGCCTCTAACCGCGCCGGGGAGCACTGTAGCTCTATGACCACCTCTGAAGATCCATTTTACAATTGGTGGCATTGTAGCAGTTGGACAAACCACCCCTGAAAATCCAATTTAACCGCCCCTATGAAGTTTTTTGTACTAGTGCCTCCTCATCCCACTCTCTAACCCCCATCTCGTGCGGCCCATCCCGCCAGGCCAGCCCATAGGCCAAACTGCGTGGAGTGCACCTCTTCTCCCTTTGTCTCTCTGACACCATGGCCCTGGCTTTTCTCCCGCTGGCTAGTGGGACCCACCTTTCATGCCTTTCTTCTTCCTCACCTCACCTTCCTTTTTGGGCTAGGCTTTACCTTCCTTTTTGGAAGGAACATGATCCGAATTCAATCTCTGCCTTCCATGTTTCGCTGGCCTATAGGTGTATAGATACCACCCCCGCTGCTCTACATTCCATCAAGCCTCTAGCCACAACAGCAATGCCCCAGAGTCGTAGCGCCGCCTCCCAAAACCGTATCCGCCACCGCCACCACGCAATCACCATCGCTGAGAGTGGCACTACGCGCTTCGGATGGAGTTAAGAAAGCCATGAGCATCATGTCTCCCTTCCTTCTTGATATGTTTTGGCCGCGTGACCTCGCACTAAGGCCGCCTAACCAAGCACTTTGCCGCATCCGCTCACTTGTCGTCGTCCTGAACCCACTAGTTGACTTTGTCATTCCTCTCTCTCCGTATCTGTGCTTTCCTGTGGCCAATGATGGCTGATGAAATCCTAACATATGGGTATGTTAAGCCTCGGGCCCAATGCTTTCTGAACAAAGAAGACCCCCTGACTGACCTCTCTAGGATCGCCTGGGGGATTGTGGGCTATACCCATCGGGTACGCTCACGCGCACCCACTGAGAAGAAACCTGGCCGAGCCTAACTCTGCTGTGACCTCCGCCAGAGGCTCGGGGGCTTCCCCGAGCCCCCAGACTCCCAATCTATGCCGACACTCTGGTCCAGCCCTTGGTTCCTACCCGGCAAACAACGCCAGCCAAGGCCCGGGCATAAGAAGACAAGCCCCGAGCAACCGAGGCTCGGGGGCTCCCCAGCGCTGCCCCTTGCGCACGGCATTGCCAGCCACTTTCCCGACAAGGTCAAGCACGGGGCATGACACAAGAAGACAAATCTTCCTAGCGGCCTCCAGAGGCTTGGGGTCCTAGGCCCGCGTGTCAGCCCCTAGAGCCAACCTCATTCACCACAAAGAAGACTCCAGAAGGTCCGCCCGGGGGAGGCCAGTCCAAGCCAACACAGCGTGACACGCAAAGTGTCAGAATAGAGCAGTCGGACGATGCCCAAGGCTTTTTCTGCTCCACGACACCGCCTCGGTCCACAGCGCGTCGCTGCAAGGCCTTCCAGGACTCTGGCGCATGTAGACCGTAGACTAGTTCCTCAAAACCACCATGTACCCAACCTATCTCGTTATATAAGGGATAAGGTTGGACCTAGGAGGGAGGACGATCACTAGAACTCAGATCATTCCATTCCATTCCTTGGCCTCTGCTCATCACCGAGAGCAAGGCAACCCGGAGAGGGGCACTGAGAGCTCCTCCACCATATCCTGTCGTCTTCCTCCTCTTTGATGAGGGGAAGGCTCCACTGGCGGTGAGGCAACCTTAGGATTAGCACCAAGCTAACCCCCTACCAAATCTCTCTACAACCCTATTGTAACCCCCCGATTTTGGGTGCTTTTGAGTATAAGGATCATCAGTTGTTGGACGTAGGGCACCGATTGGCCCGAACCAGGATAAACCATTGTGTCCTCTCTTTCATTCTTGTGTTTCTGAGTCGACCTGATCCACCAAAGATCCATACTCTGACACCGACTCGAACAACATGCTTGCCGTGGTTCTGACCCCGCGACAGCTGGTGCGCTAGGTAGGGGGCAGTGTCAAGTGCGATTCTAGCTCTATAGTGGCTGGAGCCACTCACCTCATCGCCGGAGCAAGCGGCACCATCCTAGACGATGATGTCTGCTTCCTCGGTGAGTTCTACATCACGGCCGACGCCTTAGCTTTGGGCCAGGTTCTCAACTTTGGGAGCATGGCCTACGTCGTCGACTGCTACGGCGAGCTTCATCCACTCCATGGGGCTGCACCAGTAGGCACTGAGCCCCCGGCATCGCCCACTCTGCTAGGACTTCTAGGAGCAGATCTTGAGGTCCTGGCCCAACAAATCTGGCGTGGTTTGGGCCCGAACCCCACCATGTCGGACCGCCACCAAATGTTCTATATGCTAGCCAATGTCCACCACCAGATCGCCACCGGTGAGGTGCTCCCACTGCCTGACCGCTTCTGGAACTACCTCCCAGACCTGCCTTTTGGGATCAAGAATGCGGCGACATCCT